CCACAAAATGCGGTTGAGAACTGTGGCCACGAAAAGTGTTATTCAAACAGTAAAAAATGGAGTTTTTATCTGACCATGATCCAAAAAGCTATCCCAAACACACCCTAAAACGGCTCTCTCTAATTTTGTCCTCCACTGGATCTACAACAACCCAATCAATGATATATTCATTTCACATTTTATCTCTAAGTGTAAAGCCACTCATCTACCTAAGAATTCTCATCTCGGCAACACTTAATTTTATGCTTCTCTTTTAAAGACCAACATTCTACTCCATAAAGCATTGCAGGTCATACCATCTTATAAAATTTTGCTTTCAATCTAAGCAGTACTTTTCTATCACACAATACGCCAGAAGCATTCCTCCACTTCAATCAAACAACTTGAATTCTACTAATAACATCCCCATCTTTAACACCATCACTGGGCAATAGACCCCAAATATCTAAAGCTTCACACCTTTTAATGATTTGATCACCCAAAGTTACAACTCTAACAGATCTACTACGACTAAAATTACATTCTAGTTTTAGTACTACTCAAATAAAAGCTTTTAGACTCTAATGTAGACCTCCATATTGCAAGTTTTCCTGAGCTTTTTCTCTAGTCTTAAGGATGTCATCAGCGAAAAGCATACACTAAGGTACATCCTCCTATAATGTCCAACAAGAGCATCCATATGCCCCCCATCAATTTTTAGAAAGAAAAAATCAATTTTATCTGATAGCAAGGGAGCAAGATGCTAGGAACCTTGACAAACCCGCCCTTCGATCGAACCCGTAAGCAGCCTGCAAGTAAATACCTTATTTTAATTTTTTTATTCATATATTTCATATCATATTTATAAAATATATGAAATGTGCAAATTGTAATTATAAATTTATTTGTGTATGAAAAAAGAATTTAGATATGGCCGATTAGTTTGGATTGATCTAGTTAGTTTGGATTCAATTAACAAAAATTGTGAGTGATTGATTAGAGAAATGGAGGGTGTTGGTGGGCAAAAATTTCATGATGAAGATCTTATTTGGAAACAAATTGAAGAGGCTTCAGACGAAGTCAATCGAAGATGGTATGTAAGTTTTGGTGCAAAAAATGGGGGGACCATCTACAATGATAATGAGTTCATCGTGACATGTATTTGCTTCTTCTATGCTAGATAGAAAAGAAAAAAATTATTCAGAAGAAGAGGAGGAGGAAAAAGATAGAAAAATTGAAGATGAAGAAATTTTACCTGAAGGAAATAGAGATTATGTGAATGAAAGAGATGATGAAAACAACTGATTTTATTTTATTTTATTTTATGAAATCTGAGACTTTATTATTTTATTTATAGTTTAAAATTTAGATTTTATAGTAATATATGATTTTTTTTGGCAATGTTTTAGTTTTTAATTATTGCGGTGAACTATAAGTATTTTTTTTAAATATTAGTCTTCAAGTTAAGTATTACACTAAATTCTTTTCATTTGTATATTAACTTTTTAAATCATATTTTATGTCTTATAATCACTCATAAATGCATTTATACATTGCTAATTGTATACAACTTATTAGTGCTTTGGTTGTTAAATATGTTGTTTCACTCTGCGCCTTATGCTTTCAAGAAAAAATAAAGTCATGCATATTGCATTGCGCTTTGCACTTTGATAACGCTGAGTAAAACTTCATTGGCATGCTTATTAGGATTTACAACACTTCAAAAATTCTTTTCAACCATAACATCTAATATACCCCATCAAACATGGCCCTATATTATGCCTCAACATTATTCCACACAAACACATTTTGTTTCTTATTTCTCCATGTAACCAGGTTTCCTCACACATAGGTGTAGTATCCAGAAGTTGTTCCATCAATAACCGAACCTGCCCAATCTACATCAGTGTATGCCTTAATGCTCTTTTCTGTGGTGTTCTGAAAGATTGAGTATTTATCTAGTATAAGTTCATTGACTGTTTTAAAGTGTTTCTCATAGGAAAAATGCATAAATTGACTTACTATATTCATAGAAAAAGTAATATATGGTCGTATATGTGATAAGTATATCAGCTTCCCCACTAATTTTGTATATCTAACAATATTCACTATATCACCTTCCTTCCCATCTCTGAGTTTCTGATTGGGATCAATTGGAAAATCTGCAGGTCTACACCCACTCATCCCAATTTTTTTGAGAAGATTAACAACATACTTCTGTTAGGAGACAAGAATTCATTTTTTCAATCGAGCAACCTTTGTGCAAGGAAATAACTGAGAGATTCTAAATCTCTGGTTTCAAAAAACAGCTAATAGGAAAATCTTTAAATAATTCATCTCATATGCATCATTTTCAGTCAGAATAATATCATCCACATAAACAATCAGTATGGCTATATTCTCATTGTTTGAATGTCTAAAGAAAAACGTATGATCTCCCTGCCCTTGAGTATACCACCGAGCTTTAACAAATACTATTAATTTTCCAAATGATGTTCTCAGTAATTGCTTCAACCCGTATAAGGATTTTTTTTTTAATTTACACACAATTGTGTAAAACTTTTCATTAAATCCCATTTTTTTAATTTACACACGGTTGTGTCAAACTTTTCATTAAATCCCAAAGGTGCATCCATATACACTTCTTCCTCCAAATTCCCACTGAGAAAGTCATTATTTATAACCAACTGTTGTAGGGCCAGTTCAGGATTATTTGTACGTAACAAAAAAAAAAACCTTATAGAGTTCAATTTTGTGACTAGGACGAATGTCTCTAAATAATCAATATCATAGAACTAAGTGAATTCCTAGACAATAGAGTCATTAGAATTATACTTGCATGTAAACATCCATTTGCACCCAACAATTTTATTTCATCTAGTTAGATTAACAAATTCCCACATGTCATTTTTTTCAAAAGTTTTCGTCTCCTCAAAAATAGTCTCCTTCCACTTAGGAACTTTCAGAGCAACTTGCACGGTACTAGGAATCTCCATACAAGACAATTATGAGGTAAAAACGTAAAAAATGAACGAGAAGTTTTCATACGGCACATAATGGGACAATAGATGTTGGGTGCAATACTTTTTCCCAATGAAAGGCTAAACTCATTAAACTCGGGACTTGAACTAGGTTCAGATTCGGGACTAGAAGACCCAGAACTCAAAGATAAAGTGGATTAAACATGGGGTAAAAGAATAGCGATGACATTACCAAGTGGGTTTGTAGATTCTAGGCAGTGCAATAGATTTATCGACATTTTCTTTTGAGTTGTCCTCGGCCGCTAGTAGATAATATCAAATAGAACCCCTGTCGTAGTTTTATTTCTTATTTTGCTCTTTGTTATGAAAATCAAGAGATGGCATTTTAGGATTTTTAATATCTTAAGAACTCGACACACTCTCTCCTGATATAATATCATTTGAATTTTCAGGTTGAACACTCAACGTCGAGAATATACTCTTCAGGGAGTCTTCGTTTTGAATAAAATCCAGAAACTCAGTAGAAAAATCATTATGTTGTTCCCTCCCTTGAATATAAGATGAAAAAAATGATTGTAATTAAAAAAAATGACGTCCATGATAACATACATTTTTTTAAAGTTGGGATCAAAGCATTTATACCCCTTTTTAGATAGAAGCATGAGCGACAAACACACATTTTTTAGCTTAGGGTTTAAGTTTTTCAAAAAGATGAATGTGAACGAAAGCACTACGCCCAAATAGTTTTAGAGGTAGAGAAGATGAGAGTCGATTCTTTAAAAAAAAAAATTTGAAAAATATCAAAAAGTATTTCAAAGTTTATAACCACATTGGGTGTTTTATTTATCACAAATGTAACAGTAAGAATGACTTCACCCCAAAGATAATTAGGCACCTGACTGATAAATAAATAGTAATGCCCGAAATATCTCTAATAAGTGTTTGTTTTTCCTTTCAGTCCCGTCATTTTATTGTAGAGTGTCAGCACAAGATCTTAGATAAATTATTCCTTTTCGAGAAAAATTGACCCATAATATTTTTGAAATACTCCCGGTCATCATCACCTCATAATATTTGAATGATTTTTTGAAAGTGTGTGTACCATAGTATTTATCTTTCAATTTTAAAAATTATCTCCACTTTTGATTTATCTTTCAGTAAGGGGGTGTTCGAGGAGCCATTTTGGATGCTTATCGTTTTGAAAATGCCATTTCGAGTGTTTGGCAAACGGTTTTCTTGTTTTTTTTCGGTGTCGATCATCCGCAGAATGGAGAAAGCAAGGACCGAAGGAGCAGGTGTGTTCCGCAGCTTTCGCTCCATTTCGGTTGCAGAATCTAATTGCTGCCCCTTTGAAAATATTGTAATCCCCTCCCATGTCCCCGATAATACCCTTTGATTCGCCTCTTCCCCAAACTTTTTCTCTTCTACTACGGTTTTAGGGCAAAATCCCGATCTCCTCCCCTCTGTCTATTTCGCTTTCGTCGCCTCTCTTCAACTCCCTTTGTATGTATAATTATTCCCCTTCTCTCTGTTGTGGATATTTGATTTTGATGGTTTACTTTGTTACTTCTTTTATCTATGTATTTCTCGGTTTACATGTTGGTTGTTTGAGATGATTTAGATGTTTTGGTGGTTTTGGTACTTTGGTGGTATAACTCCTTTCTTTCTTAGTGTTTCTCGATTTATCTGTTTGAGGTATAAATACTCTCATTTTATTACAAATATCTCGATTTACATATTATATCAGTAACTGCATTTTTTCTTTCCTCTTCTTCAATCGGGAAAAACATTTTGTGGTGAGTATTACGAGCACTATTAGTTTTTTTTTTTTAATATATCCATGATAATTTATTTTTGAGCTCTTGCAAATATCTCAACTTAAATGTTGAATCAGTAATTGCATTTCTCATTCATATTCCTTAAACTGTGAAAGCATTTTATGGAGAGAATTATTAGCATTGGTTCTTTTGAAAATATCAACAACAACAAAAGTATTGTTTTGCTGTAGTATTTTTTTGCTTTAGTTATGGATGGACTTACTGGAGATTTACAGGAGGATGCTCTGAGGAGCCATTTTGGATGCTTATCGTTTTGAAAATGCCATTTCGAGTGTTTGGCAAACGGTTTTCTTGTTTTTTTTCGGTGTCGATCATCCGCAGAATGGAGAAAGCAAGGACCGAAGGAGCAGGTGTGTTCCGCAGCTTTCGCTCCATTTCGGTTGCAGAATCTAATTGCTGCCCCTTTGAAAATATTGTAATCCCCTCCCATGTCCCCGATAATACCCTTTGATTCGCCTCTTCCCCAAACTTTTTCTCTTCTACTACGGTTTTAGGGCAAAATCCCGATCTCCTCCCCTCTGTCTATTTCGCTTTCGTCGCCTCTCTTCAACTCCCTTTGTATGTATAATTATTCCCCTTCTCTCTGTTGTGGATATTTGATTTTGATGGTTTACTTTGTTACTTCTTTTATCTATGTGTTTCTCGGTTTACATGTTGATTGTTTGAGATGATTTAGATGTTTTGGTGGTTTTGGTACTTTGGTGGTATAACTCCTTTCTTTCTTAGTGTTTCTCGATTTATCTGTTTGAGGTATAAATACTCTCATTTTATTACAAATATCTCGATTTACATATTATATCAGTAATTACATTTTTCTTTCCTCTTCTTCAATCGGGAAAAACATTTTATGGTGAGTATACGAGCACTATTGGTTTTTTTTAAAATATATCCATGAGAATTTATTTTTGAGCTCTTGCAAATATCTCAACTTAAATGTTAAATCAGTAATTGCATTTTTCATTCATATTCCTTAAACTGTGAAAGCATTTTATGGAGAGAATTATTAGTATTGGTTCTTTTGAAAATATCAACAACAACAACAACAACAAAAAGTATCGTTTTGTTGTAGTATTTTTTTGCTTTAGTTATTGATGGTCTTACTGGAGATTTACAGGAGGATGCACTTCAATGTATGCTTTTTGCTGATGATATCCTTCTCGTGGATAAGACGAGAGAAAAAGCCCAGTAAAAACTTGAATTATAGAGGTCTACATTGGAGTCTAAAAGCCTTCATTTGAGTAGAACTAAAACAGAATACATGGAATGTAATTTTAGTAGTAGTAGCTCTAGTGCAAAAGTGTAACTTTGGGTGATCAAATAATTAAAAGGTGTGAACGATTTAGATATTTTGGGTCTGTTGTTCAAAGCGATGGTGATATAGATGAGGATGTTAATAGTAGAATTCAAGTTGGTTGGTTGAAGTGGAGGAATGCTTCGGGCCTTTTGTGTGATAGAAAAGTACCGCTTAGACTGAAAGAAAAATTTTATAAGACGGTGGTGAGACCTGCAATGCTCTATGGCGTTGAATACTGGCCTTTAAAAGAGAAGCATAATGCTAAGTTAAGTGTTGTCGGATGAGAATGATTAGGTTGATAAGTTGCTTTACACTTAGAGACAAAATGCGAATTGAATATATTCGTGATAGGGTTGGTGTAGCTCCTGTGACGGACAAAATTAGAGAGTCGTCTTAGATGGTTTGGTCACATTTAATGTCGACCATTTGATGATCCGATTAGGCGAGTATATGTTCGAGGTAGACGTAGGAAGACTTGGGCTTATTGTATAAAAAATGATCTTAATTTATTATAACTAAATGAAAATATGACACTAAATAAGACGCAATGGAGAAAAAGGATTCAGGTAGCCGACCCTACGTAGTGGGATTAAGGCATTGTTGTTGTTGTTCTTTTGAAAAAATAACCAGAGAAAATTGTTGAGCGGTTGCAAATATCTCGGTTTGCATGTTTAATAAGTAATTGCATTTTTTTTTTCCTCTTCTTCAATCTGGAAAAGGAATTTTATGGAGAATATTATAAGCACTCTTGGTTCTATTTAAAATACATCCATGAGAATTTGATTCGAGCTCTTACAAATATCTCAGTTTAGATATTAGATCAGTAATTGCATTTTTTTTTCTCTTCTTCAAACAGGGAAAGAATTTTACAGAGAAAATTATGAGCATTGTTGGTCATTTTGAAAAAATTTCAAGGAAAAATTGTTTTAAACTGTTGTAAATATCTCAGTTTACTTGTTAGATCAGTAATTGCACTTCTATTTCCTTCTCTTCTAAACAAAAAACATTTTATGAAAAGTATTACGAGCACTGTTGGTTCTTTTGAAAATATATCCATGAAAAATTATTTTAAACAGTTGCAAATATCTTAGTTTACTTGTTAGATCAGTAATTGCAATTCTCTTTCCTCTTTTTCAATCTGAAAAGCATTTTATGGAGAGTATTACGAGCATCATTGGTTCTTTTTAAAATATATCCAAAAAAAATTTTGAACTATTGCAAATATCTCAGTTTAAACATTACATCAGTAATTGTATTTTCTTTTCGTCTCCTTCAATCTGGAATAACATTCTATGGAGAGTATTACAAGCACTGTTGGTGCTTTTTAAAATATATTCATAAGAATTTGGATTGAGCAATTGCAAATATCTTAGTTTAAATGTTAGATTAGTAATTGTATTTCTCTTTTCTTTTTTTCCTTCAAATTGAGAAAGCATTTTATAAAGAGAATTATGAGCAGTGTTGATTCTTTTGAAAATATATCCAGGAAAAATTGTTTTGAACTGTTGCAAATATATCAATTTACTTGTTAGATCAATAATTGCATTTCAATTTCCTCTTATTCAATCTAGATAAGCATTTAATGGAGACTATTACGAACTATGTTGGTCTGCATAGATCATCGTGTTTAATACGATCTGGGAAGTTATAAACACAACACTGTTTATTATGTTACAAATTAAGTCAAATCGTGCTACTTCTGAGCGTTTTCAACACTCCACTAAGACGATTAACAAATATTTTGATGTCAGTGTTAACTAGTTGGTGAAATTGTCAACCGAATTTATCAAACTACTAGGCCCCGCTTTTGCGCAAATACCGCAAGAAATCCATAGCGATCCGAGATACACGTTGCTCTTCAAGATATTGATATCTTTCCTTGTTCTAACAGTACTATACAACAACAGCAACAAAAAACCATTATCCCACTAATTGGGGTCGGCTACATAAATCCTTTTCTCCATTACGTCCTAATGAGTGTCATATTATCATTTAATTCTAATAAATTAAGCTCATTTGATATAGTACTTGTTCTAATAGTACTATATCACAAAAAAATATACTAATAAGTTTTTAAAATAGGATTGCATTTGAGCAATCGATGGCACGCATGTGGATGCACGTGTGGGCAATTCGGAGAAGATCGCATCTATCGGACAATGTGGGGCTATCACACAATATCTTAGCAGTTTGTAATATTAATGTGTTTTACATTCGTGATGGCTGGCTGGGAAGGAAGTGTTCACGATAGCCAAATTTTCAAATTTGCAATCCGTCGGCATGAATATAAATTTCAAATGCCTCTCCAAGATCAGTAGATTTAAGATATCACGACATGAATCTTTTGATTTTAAGAAAGCGCTCATAATGTTATTATTTAGGATAATATTACCTCATCGATTCGGAATATCTATTATAACGAGACTTCTTAAAGTCATTTCCTAACACAAGGCAATACCTTCCTAGTTGTGAGCGCAACAGCTAAGTGATTAGGATAATATTACCCCATCGATTCAGAATATCTATTATAACGAGACTTCTTAAAGTCATTTCCTAACACGAGGCATCACCTTACTGGTTGTGAGCGCAACAGCTAAGTGATTAGAGGAAGGAATGCATTGTTCAAAATAAAGTCCTCCGAGAAAAAGACTCATCAAGGGAGAAGTAAAAAAAAACCATAAGAACTATAGACAAGAGAATACAAATAAAAAAAAAGTCCTTTTCGCTCACAAAATCTGATAATTAAGACTAGACAACTCTTAAACAGGACAATCTTACAAACATAATTTTTAACCCTGATCCTCTTCTCCTAGTTGAATTTGCCATCTCAACATCCAAATTCATCGTAATCCTCAAGTTGAATCAGATGTCAAAAGCGCATTTACCCGCTACTAAAACATAAATGTTGACCAAACGGATTAGTCAAGATGCATATAGTAAA